GGCTTTCTCGCTTTTCTCCCTTGTTTCTTTCTTTCCTTTTTCTCTCCGCTGATGAACGGCTCAGACGTTACCTGCAGCTCCTCATAAACAATCTAGTTCTGATAAGTGCCGTCCTGTAGCTTCACTGCTGTATTTAACATACAGTATGTGGTGATTGAGTGAGCTTTAGTGACGCGCACACACATGCACATATTTCTAACTTGGGTGTTGTTTTATTGTGTGGGGTGAATTAAAAGGTATATATCCGATGTGTATGTGTGGGTATCTGTGTGGTGTTAAGGGCAGTAGTGATTAACCTGTATGAGTCGGCTTTACTAAACCTTTCATAAGGTACAGTAGTTTTATTCTTTTGGAGAATTATTACTGCATAATCAACTACTTGCCCAGAAAATGTGTTTGTGTTGCTGTCAGTGTCTGTCTGTGTTTGTCTAGTTTCTGTGCATTAGATGTCATGTGCTCATATTTGAGTTTTCAAGTGATGCAAAGCAATAGATTAATATGTGACATGACATTGAGACACTTCCCCTGGGACCTGCTGTTTTTAGATTTATTCCCAAATGTCACTAGTCACCATAGACACAATTAGTTACATTTTAGTGACTAATCATCATTCTTCAAGTTATTAGTTGCTTTAAGTTAAACGTATTACTCAACATTAGGAGTCTGGATTGCCTGCACATGGCTTTCACTGCTAATGTCACAAGCATACATGGAGGTGGCTAGTAGTGCTTATGGCGCTATTAGAGCTAACATTGGGTGCATTTGGAAAAACTCACTCCCAGTGCCAGAGTGCACTCTAGCACAAATTGGACTGTTTATACATTTAGAGTGCTGTTGGAATATAAAGTTTGTTTATTCAGAACACCACAGTTTCCAAGCATCAGAGTGTACACTGGGCTCTGGGAGTCAATGTGTGATTAACTTCACGGTGTAGTTCATTAATTCATGTAGACATAGAGCGCTCTGTTTCTTTGAACAACAGTGCTCTCACTTTAGAGTAGAGCGTCAGATTGGATTTACGAATGCACCCATAGTTAACCTTGGTGGGTTCCACAATGACGCCGTTCTGCCACTGTCGGTTGGGATGGTGCTATCAGCAGGAACCACTGTATGAGCTCAATGCAATGTGGCAGCAATTAGCAAGCCAGTGAGACATGAAGGGAAGGACATGCACTAATCTCTATAAAGTGATATCTTCATAGTGTGCAGAATTTGTAGGCAACAGGACAAGATTTTGGTATTGGAAGAGCTCTGGTTTCCATTTGTAGTCTGTTTGTAGTCCAAGTAGTATTAACCAATCGTGTTTGACTGACAGGCTAAGGGGTTAATGGAGAGGAAGAACACATTAACTGAAATGCAATCTCAGAACCTATCAGCAATTGTCCGATGATGATTTAGCTTTATATTAGCTAGTTGAAAAATGTATCTGCAATCATATGCAGATATCTGTTTACAGAGGTTAGAGATTAGTCAAAATGAAAAGAGCCGCTGCCCCCAGAGGCTTATTGTCAAGCTTCCCATAGCCGATGGGTTGTGACCTGGCCCAGCTACCAAAGCAAAGAACACAGAAGCTCGGATTACTACACACACACACAGAGCCTGACTTTATTTTGTTCTGAGGACGTCATTACTCCCCAATATCTTAACATAACAGATGCTTGTTTGCTGACATATTAATGTTCAAAATGTTATTATATAGAACCTTTGACGAATCACCAAAGGCTTTCATCTCGATGGAAACATAAATGTCTGTACCAAATTATATAGTTATGGAGACATTTTTGCCAAAATGACAAATTTGAACTTCATGGAGTTGCTACAGGCAAAATTAATCCATTGTGTCGATGTGGAGATATTTTACTGGATAGGTAATAACTTTGAGCTGCTGGTGGCGCTAGAGGAAAAGTCAGGGGATCACTAAAGTCATCCTCTTGAGACCGTGAATCTCTGTTTGGAATTTCATTTGTTGAGAATGTACAATAGACCAACACTTTTTAGTCATTAGCTTTTCAGTACTCACATTTAGTTGTTATTTAACACAACAGACCATTATGTAATGATTTTATTTTTTCCTTTCACTATTTTACTATAACTAGGGGTTAATAAATAGTGACACATAGTATTTTAATAAAATCTAATTTGTATTCCACACCAAGGTAAGTGGTAGTTTTGATATAACACAACATATTAATAAAAATAACATTTAAAGAAGATTACATATCATAAGTATTAGTGCTTCTTAAAAAGTGAAAATGTTAAAAGAACTGGAGTCACTGTAAATAAGTGTTATTGAACACTGTACAATAAATGTAAAATCAGCAGGTCACACACCTCATATGTCTCATTCACTGTATGTGTACATGTATTGTTTTGGCGTGTATTTGTGTGTATTTTTGTGTGTTTGTGTGACATAGTGTGTGTGTGTGTGTGTGTGTGTGTGTGTGTGCAAATGCTTATAATTGCCTTTAAATTTTAATGTGCATATGGGGACTTGTATTGAGTGTATGAACTGGAGGTGGAGGTTGAGACGACAGCAGTCGTCCTTGACGTAGGTCACTCTGACATGTTATGGATTTCCACATGGATCTGAGAACACAGATAACATGTGTGAGAGGTTGTCAGCAACCTTTCGGGACTCAACCCAAGAGACCAATATGAAACTCAAATCAATCATACCCTTTCTCCTCATTCCCTCTGTCCCTCTCTCTTTCTCCATGCTCTCTACTTCACTGGTTTTTCCATCCTACTTATTTTCTTATGTTTATCTTACTTTCCATCCCCCTCTCCATTACTAGCCCCTCTTTTCTCTGTGTATTATCTGTCTTGCTCCTTATCTATTTTATTTCCTCTACCTCTCTCATTCATTCATTCACTTTAAGTCTCTGGTGTTTCACTTTAAGACTTTTATCGCACTTACACTCTCTGTCTCTCAATTTCCGCTTATTACTCTTCACTCTTACATCTCTTGCCACCCTCTCTTCCTCTTACTTTCCCTCTTGCTTTCTCATCTGATTTGTACCATCTTTCCCCGACCAATAGATGATCCAATCTAATGCTTCCTGCTTGATTGGAAAAAACAGCTTACAATTCAATTTATAGAGCAGCTACACACCTGCATTTTTTCACTTTCAGGATAGCAGGAGAGTTCTGGTTTCAAACCCACCAGCCAGCTGAGGTGGTGGTTTCTGTGCCGAGTCTCCCCACCTGGGGAGAACATGTCGCCCTGTCTCCACAGTATACCCCACCTGTCACCCAATGGCAGCTGGCACAGGGCTGCCCATAAAGGGGGTATACAGGAAAGCTTTCTGGGCCCCATGAAGGCCAGCAATAACCATTTTTAGACATGAGTAATGATGACCAAATTTAACTTTGAATCAAAATATTCACAATTACTTATTAAAACAACAAACATGGTTGCTTTAGTAAAATGTAGTCTGCTTCATAATCAAAACCCCCTCTTCTGAAAATGGTATGAGTGGAGATGGTAGGAGAGAGAGGGCACAGGCATGCATTGATATATATGTAAAGCAGATTTAGGGAGGGCCCATTCACTGGACTTTTTCAAGGGCCCACCCATCTCTATGGGCAGGCCTGCCCTCGGCCCTAAGAAAAATGAAAACATGATATGCTAAAGTATTAGCATGGAGCACCAGGCTGAATGATCTACCAAGGACACACAGGATCTGGTGTCTACAGCTTGGCCAGGCTGACTAAAGGCCAGTTCCTCCTCCTATTTGAGTATTAAAGGGACACTTCACCTCAAAATCATAAATATATATTTTTCCTCTTACCTGTAGTGCTATTTATCAATCTAGATTGTTTTGGTTGCAGAGTGTTGGAGATGTTGGCTGTAGAGATGTATGTGTTCTCTCTGATATAATCAGTCTGTGGTGCTGAAAGCACCAAAAAAAAAGTATATTTGAAAAAATTAAAAGCAATGTATCAAATACTCCGCAGACCTTGTTGCGAGCAGTTTCATGTAGCAACTATTTTCTGTCTACCGAGCCACACCTGCCAACTGTATCATCTACTGCTAGCTCACCTAGCATCTCTGAGCTAACTAACGTTACAGCTCAGCTGAGGAGGTCACCATTAGTGTTTACATCTCATGCTGTCACAAGCAGGAGCCTCTTATATATGAGTAAATACTCTTCTTCCTGCCTTGTGATTGGTGGGTGTAGTTCAGCACACAGAAAATAGTTCCTACATAAAACTGCACACAACAAGATCTGTGGATTATCTTGAGTAACCGGGTCATGATTTCTGGAAAGAGACATTGCTGTAGAGGTTTTTTTTTGTTGGCACTTTGAGCACCACAAGTCATCCAGTTCCATTATATCAGAGAGAAGTTAGACATCTCGATGACCAATATCTCCAACACTCTGCAACTCACACCAAAATATTCTAGATTGATAAATAGTACTACAGGTAAGAGGAAGAATATGTATTTTTGATATGTGTGTGAATATCCATTTAACCACTTCCTCTCCAGCTACCTCATGCTAACTTTTACTGTCATTCTCCCAAACCCATCTGTATTCTTGCTCTACCTCTTTTTCAGTTTATCCATCTCAGTCTTCCCTCCTCTCTTCTTCTGTTTTACCCTTCTAACCAAGTGCACCTTTCCACCATCTATCTTTTGCCTTCCCTCAACCAGTCTTTCTTGCAGTTGAATGGAACCAACATTTCCGAAAGATCACATCCTCTTCGGCTCTGTTTCCTCTCAACCTCCTGCCTCACCATGAGGACAAATAAAGCAGTCTCTCAGTCATGTCACACAAGCTTCCTCTTCAATATCTTATATATGTATTTAAAAGCTTTCTGTGCAGTAACATGTACTCTGTGTGTGTGTGTGTGTGTGTGTATATGTCCTCTCTTGCAGTGTCCATGTATATTTGATGACTTGTTGTGTGCAAAAGCTCAGCTGCTGGGACGTTACATTGTTGTGGCCACATTTTAACATGTCTCCTGTGTGTTTGTGTGCGTGGGGGGGTCTGCAGGTGGTCCATGAGGCTTACACCAGGTTCACTGAGGAATCTCTGATGCAGTCTGTGTGTGAGAAGCCATCAGAGAGCACAGAGGTCACCATAAAGGTCAGTGGTGGAACCAAGAAACTGTTTTTACTCACAGAGAGGCATGAAATGACATTCATATATGTTATCAACATATTGAAACAAGTATGGGAATAAAAACGATAGCTAATTGTCAAAATGCCACCTGATGACAAAGGCAGCAAAATCTGCATGAGTTTTACTTCAACACAGATCAGTTAAGAACCCAAATTTTAACTATTCATCACTGTATGAGATTGTTTGGTCTCAGAGTGGAAATCAGGCTAATAGGTCAACAAAACAAGCAGGGTTTTTAGGTTGCGTGACTATTTTGATAACGTACAGGAGACAAGAATCATTCCAGCAATAATAAAAGTCTTGATCTGGATTAAAGTCTTTAACCTGATTACGAAACACCTTTATACCATCATGGAAGTTTTACATTGATGAAAACAACAGATTTAAAAACAGAGATCATTAATCCTGTGTTTTAGATTGCTTAGCAAAAACTACCTCCTGCCAAGTGTAATTAATAGGCGATCAACCTTCGACTCTACACTCAGTAGTGGAACAGATTAGATTAAACTTTATAGGAAGGAGCTTTTGTGAAACTGAAAAAAAAGAAAGTAAAGTGGTCAAGGTTCAGGGAGTTCTTTGAGCTGTTTGATTAGAGCTTCTGTAGGTATCATGTGCACTCTGACATGAAAGATCAGAATGAATCTGCAGCTTTTCCAGATTTGTTGATTTGAATTTCAAACATTATCTAAGCATCTAGACTATTATTGGACCAGACTTTATTTGTTTTACATATTTTAGCAGGTTTTAAATTACCATTCTGTCTCAATGATGAAATGTGGTCTCTATATGAAATTGAGTCAGGTGTATCCTCTCATTTATAACCTACATTTTACAGTCAGTATGTATGTATATAATATTCTATGTTTATTCATTATAATATAGAATAATGCACATATAATTGCCATATTTTTACATAATTTATATAATACACATATTTTTATATAGCTGAATATTTTACATAGTAGTGATAAACATTGTAGTAGAGGTAAAAAAATTCATTCTGTCTTATAATTCTCTACATTGTACATCAGAGCGACTGTATGGTATCACAATTCTAGGGCTGTACCTGACTCAGAATTCTGTCAGTCGAATCAGATTTGGCAGTTTAATACGCATATTTGGCAATTTGTTGTTGTTGTTTTTTTGTCATACAAAGTTTTAAAGTTTAACCAGGGCTCAGCAGGACAACTACTGCTCAACTTGAAGCAATCTCAGTCAACTGAGGGTCTCTGACTGACTATTTAGATGAATTGCGAGGGGCAGCCTGCACAATGCCCCCATGGGGGTCAATCAAGTATTTCGGATTTCTGTTATCATGTGAAAAATCCTTAACGTTACAAATGGGCTACAAATGTCTGGGTGAAAGTCCTGTGTTTGTTGGACCCATCCACCACCCCTCTCTCCCACCCTACTCCTACTTTCTCTGTCTCTATACTCAGTATTGCCACAGATGGCTTTACACTGGAGTTAGTTGAAAGCCCGTACATCCTATACAGATGCTAAAAGGGTTCCTTGTGCATCAGAATCACATGCCGATGGTCCCTGACCAAGCTGCCACAGGTCCAGGTATTCAGAATAGGTAATTCAAATATTTAGATTAGTATGGAATAAATCAATAAGATTAAATAGAACAAAGTATGTAGGAGTGGCACTAAAGGAAGAAATAAAAAGGAAAACTAAAATGATGTTTACAAGGAAGACACACTGTTACATATATAAGCATAGAAAATGTGTAAAATGTGTGCAGTATCAATGTATTATGTGAGTTATACCACAAAAGAGTTTAAAATGAGGCTAGTATAAAGGTAATGGTGTGGTAATGTGCAAAAGAAGATCAGCACAACAGAATAGTTCCATAAAAGATTCACAGATGCGGTGCATCTTGTCTCCATGTAACAAGTAAAATAAGATGTGTTGCATACATGGCAGTGGAAGATAAATATAAATATGGTCCCAGAAACATGTGCATGAATTATTCAAGTTGGGGTTTTTTTTCCTGACCTCAATTTTTACCTCTTTTCCTGCCCTTCCTCCATTCTACACCACTTCCATCTCTTCCTCTCTGTTGGGGGAGTCTGTTTTTTAATTGTCTTGTCTCATCCCTCTGTTTTTTTGTGGCTCCCCTCACTTTCCGCCTCCTTTTTGTGCTTTTCCTGCCCCTTTTTTATTATTGTCTTCTTTGTACCTCCTCTTCTATCACCTTATTTCTTCCTTGACCTTTTCTTCCTCACATTCTTGATTTTCATGATCTCATATTCCATGTGCCTTTCATCTCCTTTGCCCCTCACCCCTTCCCCTGTTATATCACCTTTCATCCCTCCCCTCCTGTGCTCCCACCGTCTTTCTCTATAGGGCCTTGAGGTCTCCAAACCAGGTCGCTACCATACTCTCTCCTCAGACAATTTCCTGGAGATGAGCGACTCTGGGGTGGAGTTCACTAGCTCTGGCCTTCCACTGGACAGCGACACTGATGCTGCGATGACCTACGCCTCCCACAAGCCTCTCCTGAATGCCGTCTCTCCTACAGCCGTGACTGAAGAAGTTCACTCCGACAGCCAGGAGGCCACAGCGGTTCCCCAAGGCGACCTCAGCGCCAGCCGGACCCCTGACTCCGCCGTGAGTGCCAGCCCTGCCTCTAATCCTCGCTCACTTGCAGCCGCCACCCCTGACGGCAGCCTGCATGGTGCTGCATCGCCAGGAGCGGCCTCCAGGGGCACCGCTGGGTCAGATTCAGCCAAGACAGAGGGAGGGGCTCAGAGTGAGGAAGCTGGGCAGACGGAGGAATCAGCTCTGAGCACCTGAGCGGATCCACCAGGGTGTATTTTTTTTAGCTCACAGTCCTAATACAGTAATGACATCCACAACAATCTGGCTCTGTTGATCATATCCAAACACCACCAAGTCCTTCATTGAAACAACATCACAGACAAAATACTCATGCTTGGAATCAGATGTCAGTTTGCCTAAAAGAGAATAATAAAACGGCAGTTACACAAAATGCACAATACAACATTTAATGCACTGAGCACTGGAAAAATTAGATGCAAAAGAGAAACCCCAAGCTGTATCAAAAGAACAAAGCCAAATCTGTGCATATGGAAAATGCATGCATTTAAATGAAACATTAAAGTAGATATTATAGTTCAGCTCTACAGGAAAATGCTGACATTAGAGTAGACTGACTGCATGCGAGCTTCAATGGGCTGAGGACACACAAGCTCAAAAAGAAGTTACAGTAATGTGAAAAGGGTAAAACACTCTCAGCACTTTCAGGAAAACACTGAAATGGGATCAAATAATTTCACCTCCTGTCGAAAGGTTGTCAAAAAAAATAAATTAATTAAAAAAAAAAAAAATTGGGAGTTTGACAGTTTTGATAGGTGGAGTCAGCACGGCTCCAGCGAACCAGACTTTATTTTCTAAGACCAAGGCTACTAACAACAACAGCAAAGAGCGTCTCCTGAACTGAGGTGAATCACAGTGTGTTGCCTCTGACAGCACTTTTGTCTGCTCTCACGGCATCAGACAAGCACCATGATGATTGCATTTCATCCCACCCTATACACAGACTCTATTATTAACAATATAAGTGTGTCAGAAAGTGTCTCCGCCTCTCAGACAGAAGTGCTTGTCTCAGCACTCGTTCACCGATATCCTTTCTGAAAAGCCTGCAAACTGAAACAAGCCCTGTAGACTGAATACCACCACTCCTATGTGAACGCTGTTGGTTGTTTTCCTTTCTCTCATATCTTTGCTGTCAAATGTGCCACATTTGAAGGTGACATCTGAAGAAACCTGTCGAAATGTCCACCTCATCGCACTCAAGCTAATGATGAATTCCGCAGAAAACACCCACAAGAACGACAGTTTACTGTAGAAACTGTCCTCATCTGTTTTGATCCCCCCCCCCATCCGGAGTTGACACGAGCCCTGTCAGAGCAAAATAAAATTAGGAGAACACTGCGCAACACTTCTGGGACTTTTGGAACAGCTCCCGAGAACATAATTGGATTCTTGGTCTCTTTGCAGGAGGACCGATTGACGGACACCGTAGAGTGAGAAGTGGTGATAAAAGAGACGACAAAGATGGAACAGGGTACTGTTCGGGGAACAGATAAATGACTTGCATGATTTAAAGCCCCCTATTTTCATCTCAGCTCCCATCCATCGGACGGAGCTCTGATTATTGTAGCCCAGTTGTTTGCCAAAATGAAATGACTGGAAAGCAGTTGGATCAATCTGAGATAACGATGCAGCCTACAGCCCCAACGGAGTGAGGCTGTATAACAGTGATTATGAGAGGTAGGTGTGTGTGTGTGTGTAAGGGGGGGGGTTCAGACAAAGCAACCAACAATATTAGACATTCAGTGCTCAGCATGGAGACATGATTCTTTTCAGCTTGTGTAAAATAGAAAATGAAAAAGATCAGCGTAGTCACAGAATATAAAAATCCTGAATTAATGGTTAGAGTAAAATCACTAACTCAAAAATGTGCTTACATTTGCTACTTGTGCCCTGTGAATTTAAACCCATCAACTGTGTTACATACAATTCAGTGATGCTGCAACCCAGTCGCCAAAAAAAATGTTGGCATTGAAAGTTTTTTAATAACGCTATGGTGAAGGTGTGGTTAGGTGTAGGCAAAAAAAAACCACTTGGTTATGGTTAGGGAAATATCATGCACCCGGTTTTAGGGGCACAATCCTGGCTGGAAAAGCAGTGATAGCTCGGTTAAAAAACAACCAGTTTTCACGTCACCATCCCCGCTTGCAAAACAGCAATGGGTCGTCACAAAACACACATTTGGTGCTTAAACAGCTGCTTGAAACACAGCAGTGACTCCCTAAATCAAAATTAAACACTGCTGGGAAAAGCTGCAATGTGCCACTTAAAACACCCAGGCTCTGTGTCTCAGATGCTGTTAGGAAACGCTGTGATGTGTCAGTGAAAAACACCCACATTTGGTGACATACATATCCATACATATCACATCACACTAGAAATGTTGACATGGTAGGTTGGAAAATGTAACATATTCTTGGTTTGCAGAAACATAGAATGCCAACATTTTCTTCCGGCGACTGGACTGACTAATGCCTGTACCAGTAATAGTTTGTAGTATTTATAGTGCAGAAAGGTCAAATGTTTACAACCACTCTAGTTTTAATGTACTCAGCTACTCTGTGGCCAGGTCATGCATTTTATTGAGTCAAGGGCATTCTATTCCTAATAACCGATAGTTCGTACTAGCTTCTAAATGACATCCATGGATAAAAATCTGCTTTTTTGTCTTTAATTACACACTTTACAATAATAACACATTTTGTAGGAGAATTGAGAAATAAAAGACAGAAGCAATGGAGCACAGAAATATAGACAAGCAAGTGGAAACAGTGGCACAAGTTCAAACATATTTAAAGAGAAGCTCAAACAGTGTCAATTAAATTGAGCTCTCGCAGCCATAACGATTGCTTTTGACTAATTAGTTCCCTTTCTTTGCTGTAGAAGAAGAAGCCTGTGGGCTAATTCAGGTCACAGGAAACTGATTTACACCAAAGACATTTCACAGAATGAGAGCGAGACATCTCACGCTACTCTGTCCAAGCATGTCCTGCCCTCCACAGGGCCAAACAGTCTGTGATACTTGCATAGAGCCCCGGCACACTAAGAGTGCAGCGCTTTTCTTTGGGAATCAAAGCAGTATCCATAGCAGCATCAGTCACACACTTAACCGACTGAAAAACATCAAAACACAGTGAGCTTCATCATCACAGGGCTGCACTATCCCAAGGATCCCATTTAGATGCCCCTGTTATTGTTCCCATTGACAGCTGTTTGCAGTATGGCTACCTCATGCTGTAACGGAATTGATGTCAACCAGGAACGTCTGCAAGATTATGACCTTATACGCCTGAGGTATACTAATAGCAGTCAGACAGACACAGGTGTTTGGTGTCTGGACAAGAGAAGCACAAAATTAAACAGGTGATCCTTTTGAGACAAGGAAGAGGTTCACATTGTAATTAAAGAGGGTACAAAAAAAGTAGCAGCTATTGTAAATACATTATATGGATTTGCAAAAAATGAGAAACTAGTTCCCTTCTTATTCAGGAAAAATGTAGTCTTTATTTGCTGCAGAGGTAAAATGGTAAATATATGAATCATGAGTGTGTAAAATGACTTGTATACTCTACTTCATATGAAATTACTGATTCTGAATGGCTGTTTTGAAGGGCAGCACATTTGCTCGTGCAGGGACTTTTTGACTTGATCAGGTATATATTAACACAAAGAGGCAACAATAAGGCTCCCAAAACTTTGTGTTTGACGTAAATATCAGGTTGATTCAAATAAGCTCTGATAAGAGGGTTAGGTGGACTAATGACAAACTGATGGTCAAAGGATTGACTGACTTACAATTAAATCTAAAGCAATACACGTGATAATGGCACTGAGACATCTCAAAACATCCAATTCAACATCTCAGCATCACTCTTTATCATCTTTTTTTCCACTATTGTAAATATAAAGAGATATGTGATCTGCATGTGTATAGTGTGAAAATACTACTATGTTTCTTACTGCAAGGCTTATGCAAGATTTTATACTATCAAAACGCTGCATTGATCCTTTAACCACATGTCCACAGCAGGTAGAAAACTAACACGTAGTGCTGGAGACGCCTTCAGCTGGGAAGACTCTCCAGTCTCATGTCATGTCTACATGTTGGGGCCACAGTGACGCTGTGTGAAATCCTTTCATCGACATATGCGTCAGCAGTGTTGGAGTATCTGTAGTTGCCTCAGGGGTGCACTGTTTGACACAGCAACAGTGTTGTTGTTGTATTTAACCAGATTGTCTTATCTAGACTCAAAGTAGGACAAGGACAGAGAAAAGTGCAGAAAACTGACCTGTTGTACAATGATGTCAGAGTTTGTTGAGGTGGAATAACAGGAGGTTTTCCTATTCTTCCCATTCTTCCAACATCGTTTAAATGCAGTATAAGGAAGAAAAACTGCATATAACCCAGAATTCCATTTCAGCGCAGTGGGTTAAAGTCATTGAGATACATTGACCAACCAGGAAATTCAATAAATTCAGGCCTTTGTAGAGGGCCAGATATCACCCAGAATTCAGATAAGATTTGCAAACAATACAATGTTGAATTTACAACCCAGTCGCCAGAAAAAAAATGTTGCCATCATACGTTTCTGCAAACCACTGATATGTCACATTTCATTTTCCTTTAATGGTTTATTCGAATCATCAGTCGGAAACCCCTCAGTCGGCTGAGATTCTTTAAGTCAAGCAGTCTTTTTTTGTTTTATTTATTTATTTATTTTGGTTGGTCAGGCAGGGTGCGTTGTATGTCTGGTCATGTCTCAGTCTCCAGATTTAGAGTGAGCGCTCCTCGTTTACACGCTTGCTGTCTGGTAAAGGCAGACCTAGGGTGATGGAGGCAGCTGCAGACGGAGGCAGAAATAGAGGTTTTGCCTGGTCAGGCTCCTAGGTAACATTGTCTTCTGCCTTCTGCTTAGAAGTGGTGAAATTATAGCTTAAAGTCACTTTAGTTTCTGAGTTAGTCTCATGCTTTTGTTTGATATCTAGTTTTGGTAAAAAACGTTGCACGTCTCAAAACTGTCATTAGCTTACTTAGTGCATATTAGCCAGGAGGGATAACTTGTTTAGTATATTACATTAACATTGCTGTCACCCTGAATGTCGCGCCGAACCCTGTTCAAAGTCTCAAACTGTATGGAAAAAAAGAAACAGATATTCAAATAAGCGTATTAAATAGTTTGTTGTTTGTTGGGCTTGAACAGTGGTTTGCAGCTTGGCAAGCATCTAGCTTAGTTGTCACGCCATCCACCATCCCCTCCATCTCCCAATGACAAAGTCAGCTAATTTACTATGTCACTTTAGCATTGTTGATTTGATATGTATTAAATGTACAAATGTAACATATTTGTGGTTTGCAGAAACATGCAATACGGATATTTTCTTTTAGCGACAGGGCAGTGGATTTAACCTGCTTAGAAAAGATGATTTCAGTGAAAAGTAAAGTTTTCACATTTGAATACACTGATACTACATTTTAGGAGCTGGTAGGATGGCTTGTATAAGATCTTTTGTGATTATATCGAGCTATTTTGAATGTCTTCACAAACATTACAAAGCCTCTGTCAGAGGGCACTTAAGCGTTCTGCAAGGTGAGCCTCTCTTTTGGATTTCAGCATGCGCCTGATGGAATAATAATACTAAAGTTCAGGCAATCACAGCTGATGGAGGCTTTATGAAAGGATTTCACTTCCCGTCATTCAACCCCGTCTGA